TCATGGACAGTGAACCATGTGCTTTTTAAAACCATGACACATGAATATGAACATTAGGATGAAAAATAACCGTCATGATATCAATAATCTTGTTTAATATTTGAAATGATTATAAATGTGATGTTTTTCTAACGTCTCTTTAACCAGCTGCCGCGTTTGAGTGAATCGTTTCTCTTCACTTCTCAAATGTGGAAACAAAATGTGAATTATTCAGATTATATTAACAATAAATAATCAAATAGACAAAACTGTGGTTTTTATTGTATTTGATCAGAGTCGGTGATACGACGTCTCCTGTTTATGTTTGAACGTCGAGGTCCAGTAAAGTGTGAGAGTTCCTGTAGCTGTGATTTACTTTGATTTCTGCTCAGTTGTTATTCATTCATTCATTTGTGTGTATTATTCGCTGCAGGTTCAGCCAATGAAAACCAGCCCCTTCAGCCTCTCCCCCACAGCGGCTGGCAGCAAGGTGAGCCTGTGTGTATGTGTGTGTGTGTGTGTGTGTGTGTATGTGTGTGTGTGTGTGTGTGTGTGTGAATGATGAAAAGAAAAAAAAGAACAACGCCCCCCTTCGTCTGCATGTACGGATGTGATCACTGGCTCGTGTATGAAATCTCGGGTGGCCTCATCCACACACTTAACGAGACCCGAAAGGAAAAACGGATGTGAGCGAGGTGACAGTGAGTGGCAGACGTAAAGATGAACCACGGTGCAGTGGTGATGGATGGGTAATGACAGGACAGTGAGCGGGTGTCGACAGCTCCGGGTCGGAGGTCGGCAGCTGCGGAGCGTCTCTGACACAACGGAAACGAGGAGGATTGACTCGTCCTTCTGCTCACGTGACTGACGTCCACCTGTGGAGTTCGAGGAGAATCAATGTTGATGTGGTTCATCTTCAATCCGTTCCCTAACTACACGTTAAGCCCTGAATGTGTGAGTGAGTCCGAAACGGGTTCAACTGGTTTCGTTGATTGCTCAGAAAAGTAAAATGTCCCTCAGAGAGAACATTCTCCCACCAAGGCCCAACCGTCCAATCAAACTCAATCCAGCGGCTCTAAATTACACACACGCTCGTGGAAATCAGTTTTCTTAATGTACCTGATTTTATTCTACTTCTATGAATTATATGAAAATATTGAAAATGTATTTTTCTTGCAGTCCTGGATCAAACCCCTGATCTGGATGTTCCACTAAGTTTAATGAAATCCATGAGACTGTACTCATGCAGACAAACAAATCACGGACAAAGTTCAAATGGAACCTCTATTTCTGATTTTCAGGATTAGCAACGACAAACCAGCTCCAGCACCTGAGTGTGTGTCACGTTGTGTTACAGCACGAAATATGATGTGTGTCGCTTCATTTGTTTTGTGTCGCTTCATTTGTTTTGTGTTTCTCCTTCAGGTAAAAAGTAAGGAGAGTTCAGAGATGACCCACAGCACTGCTCCTCCTGCTCCTCCCTCCCAACAACAACAGCAGCAACAACAACAACAACAACAACAGCAACAGCAGCAACAGCAGCAACAGCACCACCACACACAGCTGATGCTGGCTGGCAGTCAGCTCGCAGGGGTGAGACACACACACACACACACACTTTAATGTCTATATACTGAAGTGATGAATACCTGGAACATGTTCAGTGTCACATCTTCTCTTTAAGACATTCTTCTTCTTCTTCTTCTTCTTCATCCTCCTCCTGCTCCCCCCCAGCTTGCCGCTCTCCTCCCGGCCCAGCAGCAGCTTCTCCTCCAGCAGGCTCAGGCTCAGCTCCTGGCGGCCGCCGTTCAGCAGTCAAACGCCGCACACGCCGTTCACGCCGCCCACGCCGCCGCACAGCAACAGGCCAACCAGCAGCAGCAGCAGCAGCAGCAGCAGAGCCAATCACAGCAGCAGCAGCAGTCAACCAAACAGGAGCAAACGGTCCAAGCTCCACAGCTGACTCTGTCACAGCCAATCCAGCTCACAGCGCAGGTACGAGCCCGCAGCGCCGTACTGAGGGAAAGATTTAAACAATGATAAAAACTTTCATAATCATAATCTCTATATATTGAGCACTTCTCAGATTATTAAGTGTCATTAGGCAGAAATCAAAGAAAAATGTTATGAAAGTTCTAGAAAATTTCAATTCAAGTAAAATCAGACAAGACTTTGAGAAAAGAGATAAAAAAACTTTGACGGGACTGAATTTTTAGTTTCAAAATATTTCACTGACTTAATAAAAATTACTTTAGAGGTTTAAGATAATAAGAAAGATAATGTGTCGCTCTAAGGTCAAACTGTTTCTGATCTCCGGACCTTAGTTGTGATGATAATGATTATGTTTGTTTGTGAATCACAGTTTTTATTTGACCTGTAGAGTAACTCTATTTAAAGCAGGTATAATGAGCTCGTGTTGTTTCGTTGGTGCGTTCCAGGACATCCAGCAGCTGCTGCAGCTCCAGCAGCTGGTGCTGATGCCGGGTCATCCTCTCCAGTCTCCTGCCCAGTTCCTCCTGCCTCAGCCAGCACAGGCACAGCAGCCACAGCAGGGTGAGCGAACCCAGCGCACCTCTTCCTCTCAGCTCTCAGAACCAAACTGCACAAACTCGCAGATTTCAATTCTGTTGTTTTTGTGTAATTCTGCTAAATAACAAACAAACACAGACGAAAACACAACTTCTTTGGTGATAAACCACAGAACAGTTCATCTTATATCAGCAGATTAAAACATATTCAGTGAAAATTTCTCCTTTCTGTTTGTCAGGTGTAACATTTCATTATTTTCATTCCCAGTTTGATTGTTTTTCTTCATTTTATTGACGTAATAATCTGACTCATTGGTGGATTTTGATTTTCACAGGTTTGCTTTCGACACCAAATCTGATCCAGCTACCTCAGCAAAGCCCGGGAGGACTACTGACATCACCACCTCGCCTGGGACTCCAAGCACAGGTAGAACTCTGTCTGTGACAAGGAATCGAACGGACGTTGAGTCTCTGCACCACAGAGCATCCGTCACACTCACCACCTGCAGAATGCAAAACGCTCCTTTAACAGACCTGGAACAAATCACTTAAAGCAAATATCTGATCTCTGCTGCATGAATCTTATTTTTACAAATGAAAAACAAAACCAAAGCAGGTTATTTTCATAATAGAAGCAGTTTCTGGGTCCAATGAGCATCTTCACTCCTGATTCTAGTCAAACAACTCCCCTCGTGTCCTCAGCCTTTATCTCCAGTAACAAAATGCATGAATGCATCGTCACACACGCGACGGCCGTTATAGATTTTTCATTAAGCTGCGATGGGAGTCGTGTCAGACAAGAGGCAGGTGCGCCTGTTTCCCTCCGTGTGTTTTATGCACAGAGACGGTGAATGTAAATGAGGCGAGTAGCAGCAGATATCATGCACGACGTGCGCTCAATTAGTTGAAACTCCCTCAGCTCTCAGGGTCACATTCCTGCTCTGTGGGTCCTCTACAGTCAGACGTTAGACTCATGGTGTTATTATTCTGCTGCTTAGAATAAAACATGTACATGATGTTTGACACACGGGGGTCAAGTTTCTGTTTTTAATGCATTTCCTTCAGCTGATGACCTCATAAGTATTCACCTCCCAGCGCATTTCAATTTCTGTTTTCGGGAAAATGCTTATTTTTGTCAGATTTTATTCAGTGTTTTAAGCGACACGTTCAGAGACAGCAGCAGTCAGGCCTGCGTGTCCGTTTTTTAAAATCTACTTCCGTCTTCGTGTGTCTCACAGAGAGAGAAGAGCATTGACGTGGTCGGCGGAAGCGGCAGCAGTGGAGGCCCCGGCGCCGGCTCATTAGTGGCCTCCGGCAGCGGTGGCGTCGTGACGTCTGTGGGAGCAACCTCTGCCTCCTCGCTCGGCTCCAGCTTGACCCCTGGAGGCCACGGGGGTCACATGGGCGAAGAACCCAGCGACCTGGAGGAGCTGGAGCAGTTTGCCCGCACGTTCAAGCAGCGACGCATCAAGCTGGGATTCACGCAGGTGACAGACGGGGGACAAGAGGAAGGTTTGCAGCAGAGTGAGTTTGTGTATTTCTTCATTCAAATGTGTGTCTCCACCAGGGAGACGTCGGCGTCGCCATGGGAAAACTGTACGGCAACGATTTCAGCCAGACGACCATCTCCCGCTTCGAGGCTCTCAACCTCAGCTTCAAGAACATGTGCAAGCTGAAGCCGCTGCTGGAGAAGTGGCTGAGTGACGCAGGTGAGAAGCTGTCATCCATTCCACCTGAAACCAGGTCTCTGATATCTGAATTTATTTTCAATTTTTTGAAGATAAATCCACAGATAACAGTTATTTATGAGGGGAGTGTTATTAACGTGAGACTCCTGCTTTATAGAATCAGTTCTTTTTGATAAAGTGGTATTTTGACATATCTACTTATTTGAACTGTCACGATATTTATGTCCTCGTGTCTCGTCCTCTCCTCCCTCTCAGAAACCATGGCAGTAGACAGCATGCTGCCCAGCCCCTCCTCTCTCTCCTCCCCGATGCTGGGAATCGAGGGGCTGCCCGGCCGACGCAGGAAGAAACGCACCAGCATCGAGACCAACGTGCGAGTGATGCTAGAGCGCAACTTCTGCACGGTGAGAGACAAACTTTGTCCACATCATGTCGTCTTCGTGATTAAAATGTAGATGTGTCACGTCTGTCCGTACCGGTCTCTTTAAGTAACAAACATTTACATCTTTTTAATTAATCCACGATCCCCACACTGATTTCCGTACCTCCTCGCCTCTTTATCCACTCTGTGGTGTTTTCCTCCTCAGAACCAGAAGCCTACCTCGGAGGAGATCCTGCTGATGGCGGAGCAGCTCAACATGGAGAAGGAGGTGATTCGCGTTTGGTTCTGCAACCGCCGGCAGAAAGAGAAACGCATCAACCCCTCCAGCAGCACCACCCCTCCCCTGCCCAGCCAGACTTCGCCCATCGTGACGCACAAAGCCTCCTGCTACAGCCCGCACATGGTACAGTCCGCCGCCACCGCTCCGCTCACCCTTCACCACTTCAAACGCTTCTCTTTTTTTTTTCTTGTTGTTTTCGGTGTAATTTCCGCAGCGCCTCTGATATTTGTTTCCTAATTTCTTTCCCCTCGCTCTCCGCAGATATCGAGTCAGGGTCTGTCCCAGGTCACCACCAGCCTCAGCACAACAGGTGAGATGTAATTACTGTCTGTGCCTGTGTTGAGTCTCGTCAATGAATTATTAAAGCTGAGAGCAGTTGTGTTTTTGGAGCCCAGAGGTCAGTCACAGGAAGATTAAACCGGTCCTGGCGTTATTTGGAAGAGGCTGATGTTCCTGTATTGTCAGAGAGGTTTTTCTGGTTTGATGCAACACGGAAGAATAATGACTTAAAAAACAAAAAAAAAGAAACAGATTTCTACGAGAGGAAGACAGAAATGGAAAACAACGACGGTTCAGTTGACAACAACATGGAAGCACTGGTCCCATCTGGAGTTGTTTACCTGCATGAGTCATGGATAGTCCTCATGATTTATAGAGCTCGGCTACTGTGCGAGCTTTCCCAGGGTTCACAGACATGACAGATGACCTGACAGGCAACAAACACAGCTGGAAATTTATTGGCCCGTTGAGCCGAGGCGAGAAAACTCCTCTCGCTGCTGTTGAGTTGAGTTGAGTCAGAAGAAGACGCCGAAAAACCCAAACTGTTGATGAGTGCAGTACTAACTGCATCCACACGACCACATTTCACTTTTAAAACTCGTCACATCTGCCGGAGTTCTTGAAGCAACTAAAACTTTTGGAAACACAATTGGCCCCGTTTCAGTTTTAAAGCTCGACTACCAGCAGCGAATGCAAACGGCTGCGAATACTTGTGTCAGTAACAGTTCATCGTCGGATCAAGAAAAGAAATCCCTCTTCTCACTTGTCATCGTTTTTGTTTCTAGTATTTTCCTTAAAAATAGCAGACAAATAGATAATCTGCTTCCTGTTTACACCAGCACGCTCGTGACCAGTGTCTGTGACTCGTGACGCGATGCGTCGCTAAAACACTCGCGTGGACGGAGATTAGTAAAAGCTCAGTGTGTAAGTAGCCGCAGTCATAATGTGATTTATCTGTTTATCGTTCTTCTTCTCGTCCTCTCAGCTGCCAGCTTGTCACCTTCAGCGTCCTGCCCCATGACCCCCGTCAGCTCGGCTGCTGTCGGCTCCACCTCCTCTTCTGTGACTCCACCCCCTCATAGCACAGCCAGCCCCGCCCCTCCCGGCCTCGGGGCCCACGGGCTCAACACCGGGTGAGTTTTTTAAAAACATCAGAGTCGACTGATCTTCATTCAGAGCGGTTTGGTTCCAGGTTGGAATTAAAAGGAAGAAAGTGTATCGGCCTATATGACCTGCTGAAGAGTTTAAAATTATATCTTATAAAAACTCAGATAAACTAAACAAAGATGATAATAGTTGCAGCAGATTACTTTTGTGAAAATAGTGTAAATAACTTTCTTTCATTGATTTAATTCATTTTGCTGAAACCCTGTTATTTAAGTTCTCGTTCAGTTTTGTTTGGAGTTGTTTTGTGTTGTTTTTGTTGAGTCCGACCGTCTGAACGCTCCTGATGTGGCTGCAGGTTGGAACGTTTGGTATTCAGCTGTTTGTCTCAGGCTGTTGCACCAGTTCGACTGCAAGTTTGCATGTTTACACACACACACACACACACAAAAAAAAAAAAACCAGCTTCTGGAAACATCTGCATGTTGTGGCAGCTCTGACCCAGATAGAGAATATCAGGTGCTGAACACAAATATGAGAAGCTGCTGCAGCTGGAATGAAAACAGACGGACGCCTCCAGGTCT